AAAAACGCACGTTAGAAAAATTTGATAAAAATATTCCACTAATACTTGGATCTAAAACTAGCTGGGTTAGCTTGCACACAGTACTTGAACGTTTTGTATAATTAAAAAAATGCATTCACGAGTCACTTTTTGCCCTTGAGTTCAAAGTTGAGGTAACTATTAATGAGTCCAATGCAATATTAGCTGTTAACTTATGTCTTGCGCCAGTAAAACTGGCTGTGGAAACATTGTGCCAAAATCATGCAACTCTGTTGTGTGCCGATACAACATTTTCATGATAGATAACCTTTGAGAAATCGATTTAGCTATAAAGTTATGTTGGTGCAACAATTCAATGAGCAACGTACTCTTTTTCCAGCATACAACATTTTTTGCACAAGGGACATCAACGTTACAAGAATTTGGATCTAGCTCTATCTTTTGAGCACCATAGCAAATTAGCCATTGTAAATACCATTATTCGACTGAAAGATCGGCTCAATCAGAAAGGGTATAGTCCTCTCCCTTTCACCAGCGTTTTTTCCGATAGTGATTCTGTGGACAATGCTGTAAACTTGTCATTGAAAAAAAAGCTTGACTTTGCAATTTTGAAAAATAAGAAATGTAACAACAAGGGAAAGTTGAATGTTTCGAATAATTCATCAAAAATTATATGTATTGAAATAGGAATTTTTGAAGAAGGAGGAAATCGTTGTATATATTTGCAAAATTCCTACCATTACTTGAAAACTGTGAAGCCAACAAAATTAGATGATCTTTTGAAGATGATGTTCTGAACGCCCTATGTTTTTTACGGGCTCATTTCACAAAGCAGAAAAAAGCGAAAAATGAAAAAGTCAGTAGTTTTGATATAAAATAAATAAGCTGATTGAATCAATAAAAGTTTTACTATTAACTTGAGATTTTATTTAGATTATGATAAATTTAAAAATAAAGTTTAATACCGGTATTATACCGGTATTACCGGTATTGTAATTATTTAGTACCGATATACCGGTATTGAAAAATGGTATTGGTATTGGAAGCACTAACAACAATATCATTACAACAATATCATTACAACAATATCATTACAACAATATCATTACAATAATATCATTACAACAATATCATTACATCAATATCATTTCAACAATATCATTACAACAATATTGTTATAATGTTATATTTTTAATGATATTGTTGTAATGATATTGTTGTAATGATATTGTTGTAATGATATTGTTGTAATGATATTGTTGTAATGATATTGTTGTAATGATATAGTTGTAATGATGTTGTTGTAATGATATTATTGAGATGTTTTGTATTGATAGACAGTATGTCTATCATTAAAAATAACTAAAAGGTAGTTTCATATTCTAATCATTAAAAAAAAGCCCAGACAAAACATTTTGCTATACATACAATCATTTTATATCTCAATTTGATTAATTTTTAATGTTGTTCATAGTTTTTCATACAAAACAATACAAAAATATGTTATGAATAAATATTTTTAAAGTGCAACTAAATAATTGTTAAATAATCAAACTAGTAGAAAAAATTAGTGAAATAACAGAGTAGAAGAAACTCATAGCATCTTTTATAAAATAATATGAATTTACTTTAACAAAACGTTACTCGTTACAGGAAGTATTTCCAAATTTAAATTTAAACTTATAATGTTTTTTAAAAACCTCATTTTGTACATATAAAATATTTTAATAAATGATAATTTTGTAAATGATAAGTTCATACTTGCCATTTACTTGATTTTTGAATAAAATATTTATCAAACATGATACATATTGAAAATGCTTATCTATTAAACATTATTTTTTTTATTTTTTACACCTTCACTTTCAACAAGGTTTTAAGCAACCATTATCAGAGTTGGAAGTTACAGGATAAATATTATAGAGCAAGATAACGATTAACAGACAACTTAAAAGATTGCAAACTATAGGAATAGAAAACAAGATAAAGGGAGCAAATTATAAAAAACTGATGTTCCAAGAAAAAAAACTAGACAAATAAAAATATTTGGAGCACTTAGGAACAGTTACAGTAAAAGGATGAGACTTAATTGAATGACGAGTAATACTAGAATAAATTTTAGTAGATGGTACAATAGACGCTAGCTCTTAGTGCCCATTATTGTATTTATAGAAAAGAGAAAGAGAAGCAACTTTACAACAATGTGAAAATGGTTGGTGGTTGGCTGCAAGAGCAGGCCCAACTATGTTTACAATGCATTTTAGCACCTTGTCTAAAATAGAAAGGGCATCATTCAAAGATATGCTCCAGATACAGCAACAGTATTCCATACAAGGACATAGCAAAAGGAGATCTATTTCAACCTCAAATGCTTTCTCCAAACAATCAGAGAGTGTTGACTTCTTATCAAGACAAGAATAAATGGTAATATCATCAGCAAACAATGCCACCTTAGATGTGAGTATTTCTGGGAAACTATTGATGTAAATTGAAAAGAGAATAGAGCCAAGGATAGAACCTTGAAGAACCCCTGAAGTTTCATGAAATGAAGAAGAGTCCATCTAAAGAAGGAATCAATAGTTCTAACGATGTTACCTGATACACCATAAGAAAGAAACTTATGGAGAAGACCAGCATCCCAAACTTTATTAATAGCTTTAGAAATGTATTTAAAGCCTTTAATAAAGTTTGGCATATAATGCACAATAAAACCTATTGGCTATTACCGTTAACAAACTAGCAATAGAACAGCAAGGCCGAAAATCATATTTATGAGATTAGATAATAAAAGATTAAAAGTCTTTGTTAAGTGTTAATTTAAGATTCAAAATCTTGCTGATGGTAAGAAGAAGACTAATGGGATGGTAGTTAAACAAGTCAGATTGCTCTCCTGAATTTTTGAAAATAGGGATAACAGATAGCACTTTCCAGCAGGCTGGAAAACAAGACTCTAATAAGTACTTGTTGAATAGTTTTCAAAGTATAGACGACAGTTCCGGTGAACATTTTTGCAAGACTATAACAAGTATGCTGTCTAGACGAAAAGCTGTAGAAGAGTCTAAGTAGGAAATCACTTTAGATGCAGAAACTAGAGTGATAGGAGTGCCAAACAGGTTGGTCCATACCTGTTTGGCGGCTATATAAAGGAGATATAGCGACTATTGAAATTAAGAGATGATATTGATGAGAATTTCTTAGCAAACAATTCAGTTTTATCTTCAGGCAACATAAAAATATCTGAACCATACAAGAGAGGTGGAATAATAGATTTGCCCTTATTATAGATATTGTTAAAGATTCTCCAGAAGTCACGAGAGTCGAATTTTTGAGATAAAATACAAGATTTCATGACTGAGAATAGACAAAACCTTTTTAAAATGGTTTCTAGCAGTAATAAAAAGACATCTGTTTTCTGGAGAATTGTTTTGCTGATAGATATGAAAGTAATGGTCACCATTAGAAATTGCAGCAGCACAATGTGAGGAAAACCATGGAGAAGAGTGAGGCTCGACTTAGAATTTTGAGAGTGAATGAAAGATTCCATGCCCGCCTGAATCCAAGAAGTTATACAGAAGCACATTTTTCAGCATAAAAATGAAAGATTTCTACCCAAAGACCATCACAAAGATAATCTTGGAAAATCCCAGTCATCTTTAAGGTAGTTGTAAGAAGTACAATTTTATTTTTATTTATTTTTTACTATAAATGATAAGGGAATTCTGATGATGAAAAAGAATGAGATAATAGTTTTAGAGAGATCGAACTGTGAACAGAAATTACATCAAAAAGAGTGCAGTCTTGAGATGAAGGAGAGAAATATAGAACAAAAAGAAAGGTGATAGAGTGAAGTGGTTCTAAAGGAAAGCAAATAAAAGAATATTCTGTGGATTCAAACCTAGTCTCCTGACAAATGGGTGAATTCTTACGAAAATAAATGCCCTGGCCAAGCATGTGACTATTGGAATCTTTATGAATTAGAGGAAGTTAACCATCAACACTAAGATCACAAGATGTGACAACTGAACTCAAATTAGTCTCACAAATAGCAAGTAGATCTGGTGAACATTGCAAGAGATAAGACTCAACAGAAGAAAAGTTACTTCGAAGACCACAAATATTAGTGAATTATTTTGAGAACTTGGTGATGATGATGGTTTTTGTGTTTTATAGTTATTGGTACTTTAGTTATTTCTAAATTTGTTAAAGAACTTGACTCAAAACACAGATAGTACTCAGTACACTATTTAATAGTCCAAGCAATTGCTTCATTACTATTAATAAACCTTAAGTTGTAACAAAGGCTTCAAATGTGGCCTCAACAATGCATACAAAAAGTACGACCATCCATGCAAAAAATAGCGCTGTTAGTACTATGTTACTTTACATCCATTTATAGAATCAGCCTCTCTAAGAGCTACCACAGAGATCAGGAAACCTGATTACCAGCCAACCTTAGAACCATAAAACTGAGTTTTAGAGGTGTACCCTCATTAGAAGATAATAAAATGAGTTGCCTAGTCATAAAAACAGAGACACAAGCAAAACCCATGCATTGAGTCAAGAAGATCCAGCATTCATTATATACAACATGTATTATAAAATCATTCAGCATAATAGATGAACATGATATTTATTAAATATCTATTGAACACGCATGTTACCTATTGAACTTGATACTTATTGAACATACATGATACCTATTAAACATGGTATTTATTAAAGGCAATCCTATCGTGCATAATCAGGATATCTATTGAACATGATACCTATTAAGCATACATGATATCTAATGAACATGATACTTTTTATATTAACATACAAGATACTTATTGAATCTAATGAATATCTTTTGAACATGATACTTATTGAAAATATATAAAACTAATTGAAAATAATATGAAACTTGATTTATATTGAACATAATAACTATATAAAAATAATTTATATTAAACATGAACATGCATTAAACAATAAAACAAAACCATTAAAAGAATAATAAACAAAGTAAGAAATCAGTTTACCATCTCTATTTACTACAGTTTCAGGAAAACTAGGTAGGTACTCTTTACTATTCTCTATATCTTTATTTTCAATAACACCAAAAGGAATATTAAAATAAACTTCTTTTTCATCTTGGTCATCTTTTGTGATCAAAGGATGAAGATTGACATGCTAAATAGAATACATTCTAACTTTAATAGTAACTCTAAGTTGAGCTTTTAAAAACAAATTAAAATGAATGGAAAAACATACATACATACATACATACATACATACATACATACATACATACATACATACATACGTACATACATACATGCATACAGGCTTTGACAGAAAGAGTGAACTAGAGCCAGGGTTTTACCTCCACACTCGTGTAAGTCAGTTTGTATGGGTAAAATAAAACCCACACAAAATATAAATTTTTTGGTAAAAAAAAATGTTTAATATGTTAATGTTTTTTATTCAGTTACTCTACTCACAAAGTAATTTCAACATGGATGGCAAACTTCAATTTTAAAACTGTTTCTTCTGTAAATTAAAAAAACTTTAAAATTTGACATATTACTTTAGAATTTTTAATTTTTTTTCCACACATGCAGAAAATGCACAATGCAGAATTCTAATGTAATATTATTATGTAAAAAACAAAAATCAAAATCGAACAGTTTTTTTAAACAGCGATATCTATTCACTATTTTTTATCTGTATTATGTTATAAGTTAAATAATTTGTATGTTATATTTAAAAAGAGAAAACAAATTATATTGTGGTCTATTGACAACAATTGAGACATTGTTGAATTAAAACAGAAGAATTACAATTACTATTTAAAAAAGCAGGTTATTAACTGTTTCGGAATTAACCTATATTTTCTCAGTTACCTGTGATAATAAAGAAGTATAGGTTAGAGAGAGTAAAAAATGGTAACACCTACAGTGTCATTAATTTTTAAGACTTCGCAATTATTCTTGAAAATTACATAAAAATTTAAACAGACAAAATTTAACAGATAAATTTAAAATTCATACCTTCAAAGAAACTCATGACTACTTAAACTATTATTATCCGTTTCACATTAAAAAAAGATATTCTTATAATAACTGTTTTTACATCTCATTACGATATGGAAAAATTACAACAAATAGAACTAAAGTCGTGCTAAAAAGTTGTAACTAACCTGATAGGATTATAGAAAAAGCATTTCATAATGCAAAATTGCAAGGATACCACTAAAGAAATATTTCCTTTAGAGACAACCTTCTATAGCAATCTTAGTTTTCAACCTGTTACTGAAGCAAACCTTTTACTTGAAGTTTCCTCTAATGAAAGAGTTAAAAAAACTTTTTATAATATTCATCCAGTATTGGCAAACAACCTCCTAATGTATTTAGAAAACATACTTATCAAAATTTTTAAATAACCAACAAGAAAGTTGAATTATTCAAAAGCAAAGAAACTCAATTAAAAATTTGCAAACTCTACCTTCAAGAAGTAAATGAGTTTGAAACATCTAATGATACTATATGGAAAGTAAGAAGTCATATCACTTGCAACAGTAAAAATGTCATTTATTACCTTAAATGTTTATCATGTAATAAACAAGCCATATATACATGTAAAACTAATAAATTAAGATTGCATATAAATGGATATATTTCTAGTTGCAGGTATAAACATGGTTGTCATATCTATCCACTGATAGATTTGACAACCATGTTTATACCTGTCAACATGCCCATAATAGTATTTTTGAACCTTTTTTTCAATTTTTTGTCTTCCTTGAACTTTACAATGAGAGTTTTTTATTAGCATAATCAAAAGCATGATACATTTATTTGATATTTCCTGTATCAAAATAATTTTGATACAAGAAATATCAATTAAATGTATTAAATAAACCACAACAATTTATCAATTACAATAGTTGCTCATAGTAACCATGTGTAATTTACATTTTTTTGTTTATATAATTTTGCAACAATAACATAAAAAGCACTACTGATGATTTTTTGAAAGGCCTCTAGTGCTAATAAATTTAAATTTTGAATTTTTGTCTTAGTGTGTATTTTAAAATTGTGTTTTAAATATAACATTTTGAGCTCTTAAAACAACCTTTTTGAGAAAAACCTGCTCCTTCTGTTCTATCTAATACAAAAACACTAGGTTTAAATTTTTTTTGAATAAAAAATATTTTAAGGGAATATTTAATGTCCCTAATATTTTCAAAAAAAAAAGTTTTACAAAAATATGTCAACCTGGTACTTAAATAAAGCAAAATTATATAAAAATTTCAAAAATAATATTCATTTCGGAAAAACTTTAACTTGTTAAAATTATCATAAAAAAACATAAAAAATGCATTTTTTTCATTTTTTGTTGAAAAAATGCAATTTTTTATGTAATAAAAATTGTAATATTGTAATTATGTAATAAAATTGTAATTTGCAATTATATAATAAAACCAAAAATTGTTATTTTTGGTTTTATTACATTGTATCAATACATATAATATATATAAATACTATCTATACTCCAAGGGAGTATAAATAGTATCTATACATATTATACTCAATAAAGGTTGGTTTGTGCGTGGCCGTACGACAGTCGTGGCCGTGCGAAATGGCCATGCGACAGTCGTGCGACTGTCACAAGACAGTCGCGCAACCATATAAAAACATAAGTCGTGCCACAAGTTTTGTCTTGCAAGACTGTTTTATAGTCGTGCCATAGGTGTCGCAGAGATAGAAAAAATTCTATCTCTATGACAATTGTTGCACGACCCTACAATGCGATTGGTTGAATATTAGAAAATGAACTATTAATTAAAACAAAACAAAAATTCACATCGAAATAAAATGGAAAATAATCAGGAAAGATTTTAGTAAAGAGAGTTTCATGCAGGAAGTAAAGAAATATCCTGTACTTTATGACAAATTCGATACAGAATTTAAGAACAACGTTACTAAAAAAAACGTTTGGGCAGCAATAAGAGTTTCGTTTGGTTTAACTGACCAAGAGTGTGAATCGAAATACAAAAACATTAGGTCGGCTTATTGTCACTTTTCGAGGAAAAAAAAGTACACCTTCAGGTCAAGACGAATCAATATCAGCAAAGAGTACGATTTTTTGCAATGGTTAAATGTGTACATTGATCATAGAGAAATAACGACAACGAATCTTGGAGATAAAATAGCAATAGAGATACAAAACAACAATAACAGAGATATAATAAAAAATGTTGAAAAATTACCTTTGTCCTGTATAAGTGATGAAAATATGAATTATGATGAAAAATTTAGTAATCAGGAAGAATTAGAAAAAGAAACTTTAAATGACAATACAAGTGTTATATTATGCCCACAACTAGTTACATAACTATGTTGCCATGACAAGGATCCACTTGGATGATTAAAATATTCTAATAGCGTTAATCTCACAATGCTAGTATCTGTTGTTTATCAATTGCTTATACAGCGAGGTAAAATGTTTAAAGCATTACCTTCAAGCACAATTTTTCTCCAGTCTCCAGGAATAATTTCACCAGAATTTGTTTCTAAATCAGCAAATCCAGATGGTACATAGTGAATGCTGTCATTGAGTTTTAAGTAATTATGTAAACAAATTGCAGCTTTTATGATGTTTTCAAAATTTTTAGAGGTTGCTTTTATTGAACGTGTAAATATTCTCCATTTAGCTACCATGATTCCAAAGGAGTTTTCAATTCTCCTTCTAGTCCTAGATAATCGATAGTTAAAAATACGTTCTTTAATTGTTAAGTTTTTACCAGAAAAAGGTTTCATTAACCAAGGTTTTATCGCAAAAATATCATCACCAACTAGCACTGGTGGTACTTGTGTGCCATTTGATAGCTGTCGGTTCTTGGGAAGTAAATAATGTCAGCCTTTATTACATAATCAGTATTTGTAACATTTTTTTATATACTTTTTACATTGGCATAAACTAATAAAAGTAATTATGAGAAATATTTTTTATTTTACAAAAATTTTTTTTAGTTTGATAATTAAAAAAAAAACTTTATTTAAGAACGTATGTTTCATAAATTCAGTTACAGGTTCATAATATTTTATTAAGGCAAAAACGTATTAAAAAAATATAGAATTTACAACCAGTGTTGTGGCTAGTGAATCAGAGGCTCTTCCCAAAACATGTCATTAGGGCTAAAAAATTTTGAAACTACTCTTTTATTATGTGTTACTTAAAGAAAAAGCTCCTTGATTTTTGAAATAAATCCTTAAAAATTTCAAAAAAGGCCCTTATAATTGCTGGGCTTTGCCCCAATTAAGTCAAGCGGAGCATAGCCACTGTTTTTATATTGTTGTTTTAACAAAAATTTAAAAAAGCTTCTAAAATTAATGGAAACAGCTGGGTCGCGCGACAAATATTGCAAAAGTTGTTGCGCGACAGTTGTACGACTATATGGAAACCAACCTTAACAAAGGTATCTAATAGATTCCCTTGTTATAATCACTGATCTCTATAATAACTGGATAGCGCATCTCTAATATCAAAATTGACGCCAAAATCGCCATATTGGAAAGCCCCAGAAAACTGAACGGAATTTGAAAATACAGAGATTGCGCTTGAAGATTTGTTATTGCTTTACTTACTACTTCTTTTACATTGACTAGATTAAAGTTGCATATTTCAATCATATTGTTATTTTTAAAATGTTTGAAAGTTTGAAAATTGAAAAAGTAAAAAAATAAAAGCACGAACAAAATTAGAGTTGAATGGAAATAAAGAATATAGGAGAACAGACTGTTTAATAATTTGTATTTGTTTTGTATAAACTTGTTACCTTTATTAATCTTCTTATGTTCAATATGAAACTACTTTGCTGAAAGTCAAAATTAATATTTACTCTGGTTACTTTAGAATGTTTATTGTTACAACTTGATGCAATCTTACTTTATAATAGCAGTGAGAAAGTAACTTTATAAGTGTAAAACATAACAAAAAAATATTGTATCAAAGATTTTTTAAATGGTTTTATATTTTCATAGTTTTTAAAAAACTCAGGATATGTTGGTTTCTTTCGCAACTGCAAAAGTAATATCATCGACTTTATTATAGTAGATTGAAATTGATAATCATACACTACCAAGTTTTATTTCTGCTGCGTCACAAACTTTTATCCCACTTGAAAA